CATTGTATGTAGAAAATTAGAAATCGATAAGTAAGGCTCAATGCTGGCAGTAAAACAAAGACAGATAAACAAAAGGGAAAAACTAAATAATAAATCAAATGCAGATAAGATTAAAAAATATTAAAAATGGATACTTTAGATGCGGTCCTTAATCTTTAACATTCTTTGACTAAAACCTTAATGGTATTCAAAGTTTGATCAAAGTACCTTGACTTTGTACACCTCATTATATTACAATTAATATTTATATTTTTATAGTTTTGACATTAATTGTTTGATATTTTATGAGATTTATAATCCTATAAATTTAAAATCCCTCATTATAATACTATTATAAACAGTTATAATAAAAAAAATTCAAACATTTTGATTGAATAAATAGATAAAACTATGTATAAATAATAAATGGCAAAAGAATGTATCCATAGTGTTAAAAAAATTGGTACATTTCACATATAACAAAGTGGTACATTAATAAAGAAGAATGGGTACATTATAAATAAATTAGGGTACATATAAAAGATTAAAAAATTATGAGTACAAATGACTTTTTAAAAAATATAGGCGCTAAAATAAATTAATACACGGGTACAAAATAAAACTAAAAAGAAAATACTACAAATTTAAAAAAAATGTTGCAAATTAAAAGTGGGTACAACCTAAAAATATAAATATATAATACAAAGTTTAGGCATAAAACATAAATATACCATATGTAATTTTTCTATCATTGATTAAATATACAATGTCACGTGACGGTATACACATAGGTACAAACACAAATAAAATTTTTAAAAATATGGGCACAAAAAGAAACTAATATAGGGTACAAATTAAAAATGAAAAAATTTTTGTACAAATTAAAAATAGGCACAAACTAAAAATAAAAATATATGATAAAAAATTTAGCCATAAATATAAATATACTAATTGTAACATTTTTAACACTAAAGGAATATATTTAAAAATAAAAATATTTTATTATTCAAATAATTAATAATGTTATTAATACCCAATGACCTTGATCAAAAATTGAAAATGAATAAGATTTTAATCAATAGAGTAACAAAAAGAAGGATGTGAACCTAATTTCTCCTATTAAAAATGTTAACCATCACCCAAATACTAATTTGTAAGCAGGTGTGACACCAATAACAGTTGAGAATTTAGGCACAAAATGGTGAATAAGCTGAATGAATCTTCCAAGCATACACTTTAGAGAACAATGCACGCATGACAGTTTGGAAACATGCAAGGATAAACTCAAATAAAGTAAATATTGGGATGAACCACGAGAAATTTTTCTAAGTACCTGTCACACAAGCTGACTAGGAGTCCCTTACTAATAAGCAACTGACACCTATCCTTCTACTTCTCAAGTGACACTAAAATACCCATTTTACCCTTATATACATTTCACAAAATAATTAAATAATTAAAAAAAATTGAAGTTGTGGGGTGAGCTCCAACGCTTTCCTGCAAATCGAAAGTACCCATTTTTCCATCGCCCATCCCCATATCCCATCCCTTTATCCCTCCACGGCTTCACCAGTCCACCCATCCTGCCCTTCCGCATCACCTCTCTCCCTATCTCTTTCTTTCTCTCTCTCTTCCCCTTTGTATTTCTTCTATTTCCTGCTCCAGAATAAGAACAAAAAAAATGTCGGCGAACTCCGGCTGATAGATCGAGATTGGCGACAACAGATCTGAGTTGGAGTCGCCGCCGACAATCTCTGGGTTCCATGTAGAGTTAAGAGCGGAAGAGAGAAGGGAAAGGAAAGAAAGAGAAGGTCGAACAGAGAGAAGGATGATGATGCCAGAAAAATCACCGACCGGTGATGGAGGTGGGTGCGAGTGGTTCGGCGTCGTCATGCTCGGGGGCCCCTGATGTCATTTTGACTTTATTTTAAAATAATTGTCAATTTTTAAATATAAAAGAATAAAATATACAGATGTCAAATGCTTATTAGTAGAATTCCAGGTCAGCATATGTGACAGGTACCTGGAAAAATTTCTCATAAACCACATAGCTAAGCTAGCCATACTGAAGGGTAAGGCTATTCCGTGATACAATGAATAAATTCAAGGTTTTGGTTAGAAGGTCCTACTTTGAAAGGAATGATTTTACTGCAACGAAATGCATAAAAAGTGCAAGCAAGACACCAGTTCCAAGAAATGTGCTCTATCATAACTGAAATTGCCTATTTAATGGGGCTTAAGGATTCAAAATTTGTTGTTTTACGTGCTTAGGATCTTAAAAGAAGTATTCTTCGTAGATTAGCCATAGTTTTAAAGATTAGGACTAAAAACAAGTTAAATGTCTGGAAGACAAAGGGATTGTTGCAAATTTCAGTTAGCAGCATGCTTTTTGAATTTGGGGGCTAAAAGTTTGAGAAACCAGAAAGAAAAAAAAAGGTCAAAGATTAGGGCTTTTGAATCAAGCACGAAAAGAGGGAGAGCACAAAAGTTCTAGAAAGAGAGAATTGAGTTAAGAACTTCCAAAAAATCATTGAGCTAAAGAGTAAAGGAAGAATGAAGAGGCAAAGAGTGGAAGGAAGAAAACCAGAAACCCATACAAGGAAAATGTATACCAGTACGGTCATGATCAAGTGCAAAATCCCCTCAATCGTTCACTCTGAACAGTCATGGCCATAGAAAAAAAAAGACGAAAAATAAGAACAAAACCATCGAATAAACAGAAACTACGAAATTGCCTAACATTGCACCAAATCCTTGTGAAAACAAATGTCAAAATATAAACTTGCAAAGGCATTACCTGATCGTAGTTCTTGTTAAGTACTTCCCAAATTAATCTTTTAAACCGTGCCGCCTCCTTGCTGTTAAGGTATCCAGCAACCTAAAAAATAGAAGCATGAGTTCTTCCATATCGAAATTCACAAACGAAAAATAGAAGCAACAATCACATACGAATCCAAATCACTATACGGCCTACCGAGTAGGCTATGATGGAAGTGTTCTCTGATGGAGAGGTGGGTGTATCCTTCAGGATCTCTGCTTTTATCTTTCATTAAATCCCCCCCCCCCTAATTATCAGACACGGAAAATGTGGTCGACTGTCATGAACCAAGAACGGAACTTTTCACAATAACTATGACATAAAAGTCCAACAACGTAGCATGCAAAATTAATTCTTATTATCATCGAATATTTTGGGCACCAACCTTAAATTTATCAACTTATGGAGAATGGGCGGGCAGACACCATTCCACGAAAACAATTCAGAAAATTGAAAAAAAAATAATAAGAAAGCAATGCCTGCTTTATCTGCATACCTCGGAGTCGTCGATATCTGAGAGGCTTTCTGAGACATCGCCATCCGCAGTTGACATTGCAGCTTCCCTCCTTCTTTTGTAAACTCTCGGATCTTTTGAATTTTATGTAATTTTAGGTCTTGGGTTTTCCAGTTTTCATGGAACTAGAATTTATATAGACAGTAATGTCGGCGACCAAACAAGAACCGACCTAGTTCGGTTTCCCTTTTAGAACTGGAATGGTGGAACCCAACCATGCTGTTCTCAAATCAAATCAAATCAAATCAAGTTTTGGTTCTTATTTTTTGAGTGGTGTATGTTAGATGTTAGATTTGGATCTAGTTTCTTTTTTTTACTGTTTATTTTAATGAAAAAAAAGGTAATCACAGAATAACAGTCCAAAATCTACAGTGCTAGGCCCAAAATAGTATGGAAAATAAACCAGGAAACTAGAAAAGCTCAGCTCAATCTGAAAACCATGTGGATTTTTTTGGTAAACAAACCATGTGGTAAACACAAACGGCATGCATTACATTTACATTGTAGAAACACATTATTATTCCTATTGTTGGAACCAAATTCGAGCACAACCGTTGATATACGAATAATCATTGGAATCTCTTGAATACCGATAAATAAGAGAATTGTTTGAGGGATATAACCAAATTCGAAAATGATTGCCTACATATTTCCTCGTCAAAGAGGGAGAATCAAATCGTGTATAGTCCATGCATGAGTTGCATGAGCATGTAGAGATGTATTTGAGCATTTATGCTTTAGATGAGATAACAGATATGCGTTATATCTCTTTGGATGGAATCCTAGTAGCTTCGATATTTAGAGATGAGATCCTTCAACTCTTTGTCTTGCTTTGCATGAATGCTTATGCACATGTAAAGCAACATATCAAAGCCAATATTCTCATGCTATAATCATGCAAATGTAAGGTGTAAAACAATAATTCATTTAGCAATCCAAACACACAAAGCGTCATTCACGTCAAATAAAATGATAAGAGTAAGAATTAAAGTTAAGTAGGTAAAAGATTATCTTACCATCATATTGTTCTCCTTAAAATTTCATTATTTCAATTTTAGCTCTTTCGTATATTTCTCCTTCCATGTTCTTTATTTTTAGTGTGGATCAGATTCAAAACCCTTTTACCCACACCTACTCACATTTTTTTCCCCATTAACCGACTCCCTCTCACCTTTCTTTTCAACTCTCTCCCAACCTTCCAAAACCTCTTTATGTTCCTTCTTTTATTCCAGTTCTTTCCCTTCCGGTAGGCTATTCTCATTAGGGATGGGCAACGGTTATTTACTCATAACCGTTTATACTTATACCCGCATAACCGTTTACCCGTTGGGTAATTACCTAAACGATTATACCCATACCCATAACCGTTTATAAACGGTTAATCGTACCCATAACCATATACCCATTTAACCGTAATCATTTAATACCCGTTTACCCATTTATCATTTTTAACCCGTTTATCTTTTTTTTTTTTGGTCTTTTGATATGAGTCCAATTTTATAAGCCTATTTTGAATGGAATCCACTTGTATTACATAAGCATAAGTGGGGGCTAGTAAGTACAACAATAATCCATGTCAGCAATTAAAATGCACATAATTTACCAACAAAATTACAACAACTGCCATTAGATGGTTTATTAGGTGTCTTGCAGGTTAAACTCATTGTTTATTCAAAAGATCCCATTTATTAGTACTCTTGCAGATCAAACGTCCCCTTTATCCTTATCCTCCTATCTTTCAAATTTGTTTGCGTCCGTATCCAGCGGAAACCGGGTTTTGAATCCTAAATCCGTATGAAGCTATGAAAGCTATAAATTTTCTCCCAGTATATGATGGAAACAAAATAGGCGATTATCTGGTTCGGGTTTCCTATTATACCTGGAGAACAGGTAGTGTATCTTCTCGGAAGATTTCAGCTTCGTACATCGTAATCTGGTTTTTTTTTTCGAATATTTTGATTTGGTGATTTGGGCTTTGTTTTTTGCAGTGTTCGTTACCTGGATAACAGGTATTACACTCCATCGATTTCAATATCAGTATTTGATAACAGGTGCTACCGTATCTTTGCTCTAAATTTCTTTTCTTTTCTTTTTTCACTTCAATTGTTCGAGATTTTAGAGTTTGACGACGAGTATGAATTGGTGGCCAGTGTTTACGACGCATTAGTGAAGGCTTGCACTAGTTTGAAATCGATTAGGGGGGTTAAGAGGGTTTATAATTACATATTAGTAATGGGTTTGAGTTGGATCAGAATACAAAAAACAGGGTGCTGCTTATGCATGTGAAATGTGGGATGATGATTGGTTGAATTTGTTTCTCTAGTATTTTGGTATGCTGCTTTGACTTTTTACTTTTGTGGTGTTTGATACCTAGATTACAGGTACTATAGTTCATACCCTTTTTTTTTTTTGTTAAACAGTTATGACTGTGGAGCTACTGTGATGTATATTGCACAAAAAAAAGCTGATGGAGAATTAGTCGAAGGTGTCTCTTCGGCAGAGGCAATGAAGAATATGAGAGCACATGTCCTTTGTAGATTCATAAATGAGGGAGATGGTAGCTGGGAAAAGGAAGAGTAGGATAAAGATGTTATGCGAAATTTGAGTTTTTGTTTCATATAAGTGTTTCAATTTAATAAATGATGGGACTCCAATCCATCCGAATTCATTTTCTGCTATATAAGTTTGGATGTTATGTGAACTGAGATATGCTTTGTCATATCTGTTTTTTAATTTCAATTTCCAGTGAAAGGGGATATTCTTCATATTTTCCTTTATTGATTTCACAATAAGATTTGTTTGTAATCTCAGATAATGTTATTTTGTCATTATCTGGACATACTTCGTCTGGTGTCATTTCAAATTGTACAAGGATAGGTACTTTCAAAGTGTTGATAAAACATGGTTGTCAGTAATTTTCCTACATGTTAGGTAGTTTAAAACCGTTTGAAAAAGTAATGTACCTGTACAACTAATTGTGTCTTGAAAAATAATATTCTACAAGGATAGGTAGTTTAAAACCGTTTGAAAAAGTAATGTACCTGTACAACTAATTGTTATCAAGAAATCAGGAAGAAAGATGAACTGAATAATGAATTTGAATTCTGATAAAAATTTAAAACGTGGGAAATATATGGAGAACGTGCAAAAGTCATAGGAGGGTAAAATAGTAATAATAATGCAAAAAAATCAACTTAATCAGAAAAATTGCTGACATGGAATCCTAGTCATTGGAGCTAAGTCAAAAGTAACTAAAAATTGGACTAATTCTAATGTTGGGCTATAAAATTGGACTGATTTCAAGTTTCCCCTTTTTTTTTACTATTACTCCTTTTTCATCCATCTACATATTTTTTAACAACTTGAAAATTAAAAAAAAATTGTCATAATTTTTTTTTTTTGACAATTAAACACCGTTATAGGTACATTCATCATACATTTCCATATTTTAATTTTTTAAGTCCTTATACCATTCCAATAATTAAAATAATAGTTTATGGACGATATTTTTAACTGTTACCAAGGAAGGTAAATATAATATTTGCTAAGTATTATTGGGTTACAAAAATTGGTTAGAAGATATTTATGTCAAAGTATTTCTGTCAATTTCACGGTTACCCGCAAGGAATTTAAATTAATTTGGCAAATTCCTTGATGATGAGAATCATCATTCCTGTAGCAGTGCTATTGAGAGAATGACCGATGAATTCCTTACTAATTTATTGGGTGCTAAGTATTATTAGATCTAAAACATGGTTTGTGTTAGTTTTACATATATAAAATAAATGGGTAAACGGTTATCCGTTTATAACCGCGGTTAATACCCATAACCGCCCATTTAAATTTCGCGGGCCATAACCGTTTATTTATCTAAACGGTTACCTATAACCATAACCGTTTAATTTAAATGGACGGGTAACCGCGATTACCCATAATCAATGGGTATTTGCCCATATGTAATTCTCACACCTTCACTTCCCACAAACACCCCCTTCTTTCTCTTATCACAGAATCACAGATGACAAATTACAAAACAACACTCTTCTCTCTCTCTCTCTCTCTCTCTCTCAGTTGTTTTCATTTTTATTCACTTGTTGCTCACACTCTTTTCTTTTCTTTTCCTTGCCTCTCACAACTCCCTCGACACCTCTCTCTCTTTCCTTCTTTTATGCTTTTCTTCAACCCCTTATCTTCTATAATATAGCTGAAAATTTGCATTTGTAACAGGAGTAGAATTGGTTAGCAACATAAAATGGAGATGTAGGCCAAAGAGGCTGGCTGAGAAGGCCAGCTCAACCGTATATAAGCTGCTCAAACTGATGTATAGGCCAACATACAGATTAGGTTGTCGAGATGTTTGGATATTTTATAGAAGAGATGATAAGGAACAATTTTTGTGAAAGAAGTGTTTTTGTTTGATCACAGTAAATTGGATTTTTAAGCTCCAAACATGACTCTAAGGTTTTCTGCAGATTTTCAAGGCTGTCATGGTATTTTGATAATCTGGAATGAATGGACAGTTAGATCTTTCTGAGACTTTGATATGTTAAGATAGAGAGAATAAGGAACAATTTCTATGAAGAAAGTATTTTTGATATGAGCAAGAGAAAATGTAGTTTCGAAGCTCACAACAGGCCTGACTGGTTGATTGATGAGTGCTGAGCAGTCACTGATTATACCTGAGTTTCTGCAGTTATACAGCTCCTATGGATCTCATATTTGGATATGTTGTATATAACGAGTTAACAAACAACTTTCTTGAAGACGGCTTTTTGATTTGAACTATAGAAAATGGTAATTTGATCTGCAAAACAGATATGACGAATTTCTGGTTCTTGAAATTCTTTCTCTTGATAACTAGAAGAAGAGAGATTTGTTGGTTAAGCTCTTATGCATTTTCTGGGATTTGTATGTGATTTCTTTCTCAGGATTCTCGTTGAAAAATAGAGGGATATTTGGTGGTGCTTCACGGAGTTGGATAATGGTGTTTCACTAGAACTTGATAACACATTCACATAAACACACAGTATTGGAGTGGTTCGGCAAAGTGACTACATACATTGGGGTTTGCTTTCATTTGTATTTCACTATATATGAGAGACTTACAAATACAATGAAAGATGACTTAAAGCGTTTACATAAGGTAAAAGAAATGGATGATGAAATAGGAATGGTCTGAGAAAGAGAACATTCTTTTTGCTAGTGTGTTCTTGCTGGTGTGGTGTTCTCCCTTTTTTTCCTCATGTCCTTCTTCTAGTTCTTGCCCCTTCCTTTATAGGGATCATATGAGATCTTCCTTCTCACAACATGTACAATCTAACTTGAGGATAAAAGCTCCCTAGTGTCCCAATAGAAAGACACCAAGTATTGTGCACATTATTAGCCATAATATGTGTTCGAATAGCAAGACAATTGTGTTAAACTAATCATTAATAATGATATGTGTTCCAATAACAAAACAACATGTGTTGAGCTAATCATGAACAAAAAAATATCATGTAAGATGGATGCATGTCTAAGGCCACTTACGTTAAAGTTTATCTTATGGTAAACTTGTTGTAACAAAACATATGGTAACTCTACAAATTGGTAGGATATCCAGATGAATCGATGATGGTGAATTAAAAGCTCCAAAACCCATTGTTATAATCACACCTCAAACTAAAACCAAAAGAGTAGCAAAGTATTTAGTTGCTAGTGGGACGCAAATGAGAAATACAAAGCCTAACAAATCAATCTACAAATAAAGTGAAACATATATGTATTTGTTAACTATTGAAAAAAAAGAACTTGGTAAATCAAACTTTAGCGCAAAACACAAATTAAAAGTACTTTGACACTTATATATATATATATATATATATATATATCCACTTTTTAAAATACAGAGTATTACACTTGTTTAAGTCCTTTCACGATCTAGCTTAACATACACGACATTGTTCTCCTTTTAACTCCAAACATGAACTTTCCCTTCCTAAAAACTTAGGCTTCAAATCATTTCAATTGTTGCCTAATTTTTTAGGGAGGAAAACTCATATTTGGATCCAAAAGTAGAAAATGTTATGGATGTTAGACCTGAATCGTGAAAAGATCGTAACTCTATAACAAATATACTTTTGATTTTGAATTTGTTTTTGTATTGCATATGGTTCAATATTATTAAGTTTCCACCCAGGTGTCCCAGCTTCGGAATTCTCCCCTTATAAGTTATTTAAAAAAAGGTAACAAATTGAAATTTGAATAAAAGTTAAGGTGACAAATAAAAAATTTGCCTTTTCTTCTCTATTCTGCAACTAGACCATCAACATCAAGGCTCAATTTATAGGATTTGGATCCTCTTTTGAGCAAAGGAGACGGAGCCTCCTAACCCAAATACACAGACCGTTAGATTTTGATCAAACGACTACAATTATTTTAACTTTTAGAAAGGCCTCCTATTTGTAACCGTTTGATCAAAATTCAACAGTCCGTGTCTTTAGGTCATGAGGATTCGTCTCCCTTACTCAGGAGAGGATCCAAATCCCAATTTATAGACCCAAAAAGGCCTTATTAAATTATTTGAATTCCCTGAACACATTCTTAAATTTTAGTGGTGGGATCTTCATCCAGTGGTGGTGGTTCATGAACATATCTATTAACCTTTTGTATGAATAAGTAGAATATACATCCATCTGCTAAGATATATTCAAATCTGGCATGCCAGTCCCCTGCCCACTACCAAAAGCCAGAGCTAAAGTATAATTATAATTAATTATTAAAATGTGTTATATAAAAGGAAAGGGTCCAAAACAAGTACAAGGGTGCACAAAGGGATAAAAGGAGCATGCAGAAATCATTTCCTAATATTTATCACCTTCCTTTTCCTCTAATGCCAGCGAGCAGTGATTGAGTGACGTTTACAGGAGAAGATGCAGGGTCAATCCAGGAAGTGTTAGCACCACTTGCATTGCTGCCTCCTGGCTGATAGTTGAGGCGAACATTACTATCCCTGGATGCAGTTGATGGGGTATCATCCTCCACCAAAAATCTACCTGTTGGCAATGTTGTTACATCTTTAAAATCATAATCTGTCAAATAGCTTGGCTTCAACATGATAGTGCCTATGTCAATGTCTCCAGAGAGCATTGCAACCACGCGTGACATAGATGGCCTTGCCATCGGTGATCCCTGCGTGCACAGGAGAGCTGCTCTTATCAATCTAGTTGCTTCAGTTTCATCAAACTCTGTCAATCTTGGATCCACCAGCCCCAGAGTTTGGTCATTTTCATGTAGAGTCCATACCTGAAAAACATTATGCCACGGTCAAAGGAAAGTATTAAGTTTTTCACAACACTTCCAAAATGAAGCTAGGGGGATGCAATTCCTACCCATTCAAGAAGATAAATCTTTTTTGGATCCAAGTTATTGTAAGAGTTTGGTCTCCCGCTAAGGATCTCCAAAACAACGACTCCAAAACCAACACATCGGCCTTCTCTGTCAAATGTCCAAACAATGCATACTCCGGTGCCAAATAGCCTCTGCAATGCAAGATAATAAAATGGTTGCACAATGTTGCTTGAGATCATTAGAGGCATTATTAACATGTGTTCAAATTTCATGCAAGTATAAATGTGTGTGGCCATAATATATGTATCCTCTAGAAAAACAATAAAGGATGGCTAACATTGTCCCTGCAACCCGGGTGCTGATGTGGGTTTTCTCGTCATCATAAAGCTTTGCCAGTCCAAAATCTGATATTTTTTGGGAGAGTTCTGCATCGAGCAA